TGGGGGTGTTGTGCCCAGATTACGACCCCCAGAGAGAGACCACCAGAGAGGCCCAGACTGTCATAAGCAAGGTTTAATCAGCATAATACAAACATGTTTGGAACTCATCTACATCCCCGTTACAACAAGGCAGAGAGGAGTTGTATCTCCTCTGTGGGGTGAGCTTTTAAAGGCATAACTACAAAGAGAATCTTTGTGCTGCAGCCAGCGCAGCCTGGATAGCCAAAACTGGCGGGGGAGGGGGAGGGTGGGGGGGGCGTGCTGGGATTGAGACCCGGAGGCTTCTTTTCAGGTGGAAGGACAGCAACCTTTATTTTGCCCAACAACCTTTTATACCTCTACTCCTTCTGTAGAGACCCACCGGCCAGAAAGAACACAATTCAGCTGTCAGTCAGGGGGAGTGAGGGCAGCTGGATTACAACAGCCTGAAGCTGCTTTGGCATGGCTACAAGGACTTTTGCTCCCTCCCATTTTGTTAAATTAGCTTTTTCCTTGTTTTTTAGAGCAAGGCCACTGTTCTTCTAGAGTTAGGCCATCTTTATCAGCCTGTACCAGGTGGTAGGCTGGGCTGAGCTAAGTGACCTTGTGCTCGGAGTCTCCTGAATGGGAGAGAGGAAAGCCACTATCTTTCTGGGAAAACGTCCTGTTAGGCCCCAGATTCCCCACTACTCTTAGTCCTAAGAATCAGCTCAACCATGAGCTGGTTTTGCTAACTTTGGCCAAATTGTCTCTTAAAATTAGAGTCTTTTTATGTTTTTTTTTTTGATTTAGCATTTTAACCAGGGATTATTGGACAATGTATTTTTTTAACTGTTTTTAGCTGACTTTAGGGTGTCGTTGTCAAGGGTTAACAAAGGTGAAATGCTAGTCAAAAAGAGAAAATTTTAGGAACATTTGGTTTGTGGACTTTGTTGAAGAGCCAGGGAGCATTCATATCGGCTAGACTGGTCCACATCACTTTTTAGCAAGTCCGCGGCCCACAGTCATTTGGAGCAGGTTGTAGTCAGCAATTAATATTTGTTTGTGTCCGCCAACCAAGGGGAAACCTGTTGAGACAAATTCAAACTAGGAACAGAGTTTAGTACATTTGAAACTTTTAGGCCCATATTAAAATCCATATTATAGAAACAGCAAATAACAGATATTTATAAAACAGGAAAAATGGACTTATACCTTTGTCTTCCAGCAAAAACAGAAAATCCTGAACTTGTAACCCAAAGAGTATGTAGTCATTGTTTTAATGTTTATTAGTATTATCTTAATTTTTTTTTTTGATTTTTGAGACAAGGTTTCTC